CTCTTCAGCTCAAGGCAAGCGCTCTACCACTTGAGCTACAGCGCCACTTCCGGTTTTCTGGTGGTTTATTGGAGATAGGAGTCTCACGGTCTCTCCTGCCTGGGCTGGCTTTGAACCGCGATCCTCAGATCTCAGCCTCCTGAGTAGCTAGGATTACAGGCGTGAGGTTTTTGGGGGTTTTTAACCATTGTATATTTTGGAAAGAAGAATTGTATCTCTTAAATCCTCACTTAAAGCAGTTTGAAGCTGGGTGCTGGTGGCTCATGCCTGTCATCCTAGCTACTCAGGAGGCTGAAATCTGAGGATCGTAGTTCAAAGCCAACCTGGGCAGGAAAGTCTATGAGACTCTTATCTCCAATTAACCAACAGAAAACCAGAAGTGATGCTGTGGCTCAAGTGGTAGAGCGCTAGCCATGACCTGAAGAGCTGAGGGACAGCGCCCAGGCCTAGAGTTCAAGCCCACGACTGACAAAAAAAAAAAAAAAATAGTTTTGAGTTTACATTGAGTATGAAATAAAATATTCCTTTCTCTCAGGCATGTGGTACTTTTTACTTGACACTTTAGTTTGAGTTATCTTTCTTTTATTATCTCTGAAAAAAATAGCCACATCTAATTATTCTCTAAATATATTGATAAATCTATATGAGAATTTTCTTCATTTCTATACTCTGGTTGATTGTTTACAAACTCTTCCTAGATATTATTTGTGTTTAATCACCAAATATTAGTTTGATGTGTTTAAATGCCAATAAATCTCTAATAGTCTTCCCAGTTACTACTCTAAATAACTTTGAAGACATATTATCTGATGTACATGTTTTATATTGAAGGGGAAATTATCTGTTTCATTTTCTTTCCCAACATGAGTTTTGTTTTTCCGTTTTCAAAACAAGTTTTTTGGTGAGAAGGGTACGTTCCCCTCCCTTCATGATCTCATCTATGATCCCACTGACAATTACATTCATCATCTACAAGGAATGATGCTTTTATCACAGAAGGAAGATGGTTTTCTGTAAGAAAGTTAGAAAGCTGACATTAATGCCTAGAGCATGTAAGAAGAAATGAAAAACAAGTAGAGCCTATGTTGCCACCTGCCTTTGTTCCCAGAGTGTTCCCTAAGCACTTATGTGTGCCTTCCCAGAGAACCTTTCCTTGTTGTTAGGAGGTAAGATCCACCTCAAGTGACTGGCAGTTGGTGGTTTTGTGGTCTTGAACACATTTCTCAGTGTACCCACCCCTAAGTTCTTCGATTAAAGGAGGATAACAGATCCCCTCTTCAGAGTTCCTGTGGTTGTGAAATACCCTGCCTGGCAGTGTGGAGGGTCTGCAGCTACCATCCCAGAGTTCAGTGGGTGAGGAAACAGTGTTGTGGGGTTTGCTCACTTTTCCTGCTCAAAGTATACTGATAGTGAGCAACACCATCTGCTTAAGTAGTCTTAGCAACCTTTTGTTTGGGAATAGCTGTTTTTACATTTCTCTTAAGGCTGGTTAGCAGGTCTTAAAATAAGCCAGGTACAGTAATTCACATATAGTCCTAACTACTCAGGGTGCTGAAATATGAGCATTGTGGTTCAAAGCTAGTTCAGGCAGGAAAGTGCATGAGACTCTTTACTCCAATTAACCACCAATAAGTCAGAAATGGAGCTGTGGCTCAAGTGGTAGAACATTAGCATTGAGCAAAAAAAGCCCAGGGACAGTTCTCAGGCCCAGGCCATGAGTTCAAGCCCCAGGTCTAGGACAAAAAAAAAAAAAAAAGGTAAACTAAAATTAGTCTTGGAAGTGGCGCTGTGGTTCAAGTGGTAGAGCACTAGCCTTGAGCTAAAGAGCTGAGGGACAGTGCCCAGGCCTAGAGTTCAGGCCCCATGACCAAAAAAAAAAAAAAAAAAAATTTAGTCTTAATTTAAACTACTTAAAATTAGTAATGTTGGCAATGAAACATAGAATGCTTGCTTTTCTGCTGAGTTCTTTTGGAAATGGGAAACTCGAGGAATGCAAGAGACATGCATAGCTAGTTTCCACATGTGGTTGATTTACTGCATTCTTAACATCTTGTTCAGGCTTCTAGTATTGAGAACAAGCAGGACTGGATAAAGCACATCCGCGAGGTCATACAGGAAAGGACAGTCCATCTGAAAGGAGCCCTGAAGGAGCCCATTCACATCCCCAAAACAGCACCAGCCACAAGACAGAAGGGAAGGAGGTAAGTACCCATGCATTTGGGGCATTCTTGTAAGTATCCTTGTTTGATGGAGAGACAGCAAAGCAGTTAGCTTACAATGACTCTCAAGCACTTTGAGATATATGTTTTAAAATACTAAGTATTTGATTGGTTACTCTTAGTGATGACAAGGCTTCTTTTAAGACAGGAAGTTGCACTGGCAAATGAAAAGCTTTGTACAATTTCCTCATTGTTTTCCTTGTCCCTGCTATTCTGTGCACATGTGTAAATCATATACATGGCCTTGGTCAAGTTACAAAACATCTAGACATTTTTGTTTCCTCATTTTTAAAATGAAAATGATTCTATTTTTTTTATTATGGTGAGACTTCAGTGGAATGTTATATGTTAAACACGTAGCACACCTAGAAAAAAACCTGTGCTCAATACAAAGTGTTGGATTATCAATAAGAGAATGTTAGCGGTATTTTCACAATAAAATTTTTTTAAATAAAAAAATGAGAATGTTGGAAATATTTGTAATTAATATATTCAGCAAATCTGTTATTTCTTCAGTGACTGAGAAAGTGATCTTTACCAGTCCAACAGTGGCAACTTCCGTACTGAAACTTTCTTTGTGTCAGCAGGGATGGAGAGGACCTGGACAGCCAAGGGGACGGCAGCAGCCAGCCTGATACAATCTCCATTGCCTCCCGGACATCTCAGAACACACTGGACAGTGATAAAGTGAGCTACCACCTACACTACCTGTGGGGCAGCTAGGGTAGATTTCTCTCTAAACATGGCAGGTGTTCAACACCATTTTCAAATAGTCTGTAGGCCCCCATAGTGAAGGTTGGAGTGAGACTACTTTAGCCCTGAGGATTCACCAGATACCACTCAACCCTTCCCAGCCAGTCACAGGTTTTTGTTAGGATATTCAAAAACATTAGTCTTTAAATTTAAACTTTTATATTTTCTTCTCATGCTGAAGAACCTATTGTTTAAGATACAGTCTAACACTGTAAGAGTGGAGCTTCTGAAGCTGTAAGTAGGAGTGCTGACATCTCCAGGATGGGCCTGATTGCCCCCTCAGAACTTGGGGTGCACAGAAAAATGTGCTAGAATTGGCCTGCAGCAGTGATAACCCCTGAAAGAAAAACATTTATATTCATATGGCTTCTTCAAAAGTAGTTTTGCTTGATAGTTTTTTTTCAAAATCATGTAAAATAGATTGATAGCACAACTTAAAATCCTGGATTTATAAGAGAAACAAAAGACCCAGCATTAGGGACATATATTTTGATCAAGTGTTCTGTTCCTGAGATGAGGGGTCTACTCTTTTTACCAGAATTCTAAGTCTGTGTTCAATTAATTATTAGCAGAGGGGGATTTATTTAAGTCGTAGTTATTTTAGAATTCATCAATTTCTCAGTGTATGATGCAAAATATTCTTTGTTACCTGAGACCTGAGTCATAGCAAGCAAGCTTTCCTATCTTGAGAAGTAACTGGGAGTACTGGCGGATTATTTTGGATGGCCCTGTAGTAGATCATTTCTTACTCAGTTTTGCAGAATGTAAAGGACATGAAGTAAGTAGATTTAAAAGTCTGCTTTGCTACAGCATTTCATTTTCAAAATACTTAGTGTGAATAATTGGGGCTTTTTTTCATTCTACTTTTTGATTCTACTAAGTCCTTAAAATTATGTCACATAACAGGAATAGAGAATTTTTTTAATGTCTTGTTTTGTTCACAGTGCTATGTATTAGCACTCAGAAGGTATTAATTTAGGGCTGGGAATGTGGCTCAGTGGTAGAGTGCTTGCCTTGCATGCATGAGGCACTGGGTTCGATTCCTAAGCACCACATAAACAAAAAGAAAAAAGCCGGAAGTGGTGCTGTGGCTCAAGTGGTAGAGCGCTCACCTTGAGCTGAAGAGCTGAGGGACAGCGCCCAGGCCCAGAGTTCAGGCCC